TTTATCATATTGCAATAATTCTTTCAAAAGAAAATTCATCATGTCATATGGATATTGACTATCAAAATATATTTAATATGCTTGATGAATTAAAAAATGAAACACGAAAAACAATTGAAACAATTAAACGAAGTCTTTTGTCTAGTCGACCAATTTTACTTAGTCGAGATCAACTTGAAGATTATATCAAACGTATTGAATTTGCTAATGAAATTATGTTAAATTTAGATTATTTAGTAAAAATGACATTCGATGCATATATTAATTTTATAAATATACATTGGGAAACAAATGAAAATTTTGAAACAATTGAAAAACAAAGAATTATATCGGAAAGATATGATATGTCAATGACAGAATGGCAATTTATATTAAGTAAAATTGAACGATTTCATGAAGTTGTCAAAAATTGTACTTAAGAATTCTTTTCGTTGTTATTTTTTTTTTTTTGTTTTTAATTTAGCTAACATTTAAAATTATTCATTAAGTTGTATTTCAAAATTCTATTTTTAAATATGATGATTTCATAGTAAAGAAATCCATAATTACATCGTACTCATTTTCTTTTAGATTTAAGCTTTTTGATAATTATATCTCGAAATACGACGACAAGTTGTGTTTTTTAATAAAGCATTGGAATAGTAATTTCATTTGACTTTGTTAGCATAACACTAAAGATGGTCTCTCAGAAGTCGTCAGCAATTCTATACTCATAAGATGCGAATTGAGTAAAACGTCCATCACTCGACAAGCGAATACCGGAAAATCAAATTAAAACAAAATTTTCCATTGCTCATCATGATTGGTCGAATGACAATAGTCTCAAGCAAACAAGTGATTTGACAATTGAGAATGTTCTCTTGTATAAATGCAACAGATAGAAAGATTAAGTAATTCAACTAGTTTGATAGGTAGATACATCGTAAGGTTTAAGTCGATTGACAATTTGTGAAATGAATTTATGATGAAAATGTGTTAAAACTTCCGTATCTTAGAAGAAACGCGTTTGGAAAAAAAATCATTTTTAACAGTTTATTGCAATATAACATTTAACGATGTAGAAATAGATTTAGTTCATTGAGATTTTATCGTTTCTGATTCTGGAAACGATATTGGAGGATCGAACAGAGATTCTCGATTGAAATGATGTTGAAAGCGTTTGAGAACCAGCCAATGCGTTCTAGATACTTTTTTAAAGTAAAAATTGTTTCACTATTGGAATTCTGTATTTAGGACTTTTGTCTTGCTCCTATTTCGAAGATGGACAGAATTACCTTGTGGAGTTATGGATGAGATGATCTGTAATGGTCGTCAATAATTTCCTAAATGAATATCAGCCGACCAAAGTTATAACACTAAAATCATCTTATACCATGATTTTCTCTCTGTTCTTTGGAATTTGCTTGACGCTAGCGAATTGTCTTGCTGAATAATTCGAGGAAGACCCTGTCAATGAACATTATTAGGTTCCAATTTTTATCATTGCTTTGAATTGACTCTTTGAAACTCGCATTCTGCTTTCGCATGCTAACATTGGCGTCGCATAGAGCTAAGTATCTACCCAATCAATCCGTTCGAGTTGATGCTATATCTTCCACAGACGTACGTGTCTACCTCGGTCATCAAATAGTTTTGCGCCAGTATTTTTACTCTTGTGGCGTTCTTTCATCGAATCAACTTACCAAAGATCTTATACTGAACAACAGTGATATTGTGAGGTCAACCATTACGGTACCTGTTCTACATCCTACCATGTTTTCTTTCATCTAAGTGATATTATATTTGATAGTCCAAAGGATGATCTCTGCCAGGCGAGCAATTGTGACAGGAGATAGATCGACCGATACTCTTCTAGTACGGTAAAATGGTTTATCATTTTGCTTTCAGCAAAGTAAAATTTCATTGTTGAGGTACTTTCTTTCAAAGCACGAATGTTTACGACGATTTATGGTTTGCATAGCTGCATATTGATCTCCTTTTATCTTCTACAGAGTTCTCAAAAAAATTCTTTCTAAAACTTTCAGCAGAATTGCATAAGCAAGATTAACAACTTTTGTATCTTACTGTATTTTTAATTTCTAATTACAAAGTTAAACTTCTAAGATCATTTTTGTTTCTAGAAAACTTTTCTGTAATCACACGAGACAATATTATTTATAACAATTTTAATTCTTTATTAACATCAATATCTTCAATCAAAACAATAACTAAATATGTTCAACGATTAGTATTATGTTTTCTTTTGAGTCCATCGAGGTTGAGGATGTAGTGGACGTCGTTTTTCAAGTCTGTAGATTGGAATAGAAGTTAGATTACATAAATATTCTGTATTATTGCCTGCTTGAGTACTATATATATCAAGAAAAGAAACAAAAATTAGAGATACAATTTTCTTCAATCATTTATTCGATATAATTTTCGAAAGAATGAATATTTGATTGAAATTTTCAAATGTATATGTAGACTTACTTTGACGTTAAATTGATTTGAGGAATAGGACAGGAATTTGTTTGATTCTGTTCTTCAATTATATTAGAAGATAAATTTTGTTGTACCATTGATTCCAGTTTGCTTTGAGCCATAGGAGAAGAAATTATTTGATTTTGTTCTTCAGCCATATTCGAAGATGCATTCTGTTGTGGTATTGATTCAGGTTCGATTTGAGCAATCGGAGAAGAAATTATTTGATTTTGTTCCTCAGTTATATTCGAAGATGAATTTTGTTGTAGCATTGATTCAGGTTCGATTTGAGCAATAGGAGAAGAAATTATTTGATTTTGTTCTTCAGTTATATTCGAAAATACATTCTGTTGTGATATTAATTCTGGCTTGATTTCAGCAATAGGAGAAGAAATTATTTGATTTTGTTCTTCAGTCATATTCGAAGATACATTCTGTTGTAGCATTGATTCAGGTTCGATTTGAGCCATAGGAGAAGAAATTATTTGATTTTGTTCTTCAGTTATATTCGAAGATGAATTTTGTTGTAGCATTGATTCAGGTTCGATTTGAGCAATAGGAGAAGAAATTATTTCATTTGGCTCTTCAGTCATATTCGAAGATGCATTCTGTTGTGATATTAATTCTGGCTCGATTTCAGCAATAGGAGAAGAAATTATTTGATTTTGTTCTTCAATTATATGCGAAGATACATTCGGTTATGGAATTGATTCAGGCTCGATTTGAGCAATAGGAGAAGAAATTGTCTCATTTGGTTCTTCAGCTATATTCGAAGATGGATTTTGTTGTGGCATTGATTCCGATTCAATTTGAGCAATAGGAGAAGAAATTGTTTGATTTGGCTCTTCAGTTATATT